AATAAAATCTTTAAAAAAAAAAATAAATAAAATATTAATTCTTTTGCAAATGAAGTCCATTTCCTAATTGTTTGCACCTCCGTTATGGCCTCCTTTTTGATTGCCGTCTTTGGTAACTGTCAGATACCTACAGCAAGTCTTGTTTATCTTTTTGTTATAGTTAACTTTGAAATAGAGAAAAAAGCTTGTCCGACTTTTATCGGAATTGGTTAGGTTTGGGCACTGCTGTGCTGTACGTTTCCATAGATACTTTTGAATATTCATGAGGAGACACAGATTTCACTGCAGGAAAATGTTTATGCAAATATTAAACAGTATGTTAACATAGTGACACTCAGCAAAGACTCTGTATATGCTTGGCAAGTTTTAATTAGTATTTTTTTTTTTTAATTTATGAAAGTAGTATACAATTGTTACAAAGCCTGTTATAAAAACTGTACAGGTCGGGGCAGTGAGATAAGCTTTGACCACACCCTTATCTCATTAGGTCTCTGTTTTCCAAATTAATTTATCAATATACATACATAAGATATATATATAATACATGTTCTTTTATCTGAATAATTTCCTCAAACTTATGTGAAGTATAGCTAGAAGAATCTTTGGAAAGCTGGACATTTATTGATTTGTAGCATAGAATACACTACATCTGTGGTCTTGCTATACAAATTCAGTTTCAAAACTAGTCTGCTTGCACTCTCTTCTAAGATGCCCCATGTCCTTCTTACTTGGAAGTTCTGGAATTATCAAATATCAAAATATGTAAAGTAAAAAGTAACAGTTTCCCTAAACCTCCCTAATTCACAACTCATTTCCTCTCTCTAGAGATAAGCATTGCTAGGCTTGGACAATGTGTTCCCAGATATCTGGTATGCGTATATAAGACATGTTTGTTTTTTAATTTTATACCATGAAATCGTACTAGATCTAGATGCATGGACAGATAGGATGGTCAGATGGATGGACGCATATGGATGCACAGATGGATGGATAGATATTCTGTAACTTGCCTTTTCATTTAACAATATGACACAATTTCACAGGCATGGGGTGGTTCCTAACGGTCTCTCTCATTCCTGCCAATGACTAATACATAATGATTTAAATAGGCTTTTTGAAACCTCTTTTGATATTTAAATATAGAGTTTGATTCTGACATTCAGCATTTTTGTTTTATTTTTAATTGTAGCATACCATCAACAATTAATTCTTATCTTTGTCCCCCCTCAGTTGATTATGAAGACCTTGCCAGAAATCTTTCTGTGAGTCTCTTTATGTTTTCATTATCTAGTTATTGTTAGTTTTGTTTAATATATATTTAGAAAAGAGATTCAGTATCTGTTCTTGGGATTTTAGCATTAGAATTTTTGAGTATGTGGGCCAGCATTTAAATGCCCTATTGTTTTTAAAGATCTTTAAGGACATGTCCCAGTAAACTAGCATTGAAAGTTTTTAAGGGGCTACCTGGATGGTTCAGTGGGTTAAACGTCTGCCTTCAGCTCAGGTCATGATCTTGGGGTCCCGAGATTGAGCCTTTGTCAGTCTCCCTGCTCACCTGGGAGTCTGCTCCTTCCTTTCCCCCTGCCCCACTCATCCCTCTCTCTCAAATAAATAAATAAATAAATCTTTTAGAAAAAGTTTTTAAGGATTCATTTATTGTCATTGTTTAATTTTTATGACAGTAAAGAAATAATTGGAAAAAAAACAGAAGGAAAAAAATTTATAGCTATATCACCATAGGTACTGTTAGCATTATTATATATTTCCTACCAGTCTTTTTTATGCCCTTTTAAAAAATAAGTTTTTGTCTTGGTGGTGAGTTATCTATAGTACATTTTTTTACTTGATATGTTTTAAGTATTAAAGAAAATTCTTGATATTGTAGTTATAAGTGTTTGAAAAGAATATCAGTAGTAACTCATAAAATCGAGTTACATGGTCTAAGAATTTGGGGGTTTTTATGCAGCAATTCTGATTTCCTGTTAAAAATATGAGTATTGAATTGTGGGAAATGGTCAACTGGGCATTATATAAGTAGTAAGAACTTAGTTATTTTTGCATCTGTGACTTATTGAGCAGGCTGGTAAAACTTTTTATCAGAAAAATTCATACAGAATTAAGCAATTTCAAGAGAAGTTTACACCTAAGAAAATAATGGAAATAAGAGTATTTCTTTACCTTCTATAATTTCAGTGCCGGGAACCAAACCAGCACTTCAAACCTTACCTGAAACATTTCTTACCCAAGCGTTTGCACTTTGCCAAAAGTGACAGGATTGAGCCCTTGACATTCTATTTGGACCCTCAGTGGCAACTTGCATTGTAAGTTCTGATGGTTTCCAGGTAAACTTAGCCTGATATGTTAGTGATTCAAGGTAACCACTGGGTCCTTTCCAACAATGTTGTTATATGAAAACTATACAAATATGATTCTCTTCAGTCTATCCCGGGGTTTCTCAACCTTGGCTTGTTGACCTTTTGGGTCAGATAATTCTTTGTTGTGGGGAGCTGTCCTGTGCATTGCACGATGTTTGAAAGCATCCCCAGCTTCTACCCATTAGATGAAAAAGCATACTTTCCACAGTTGTGCCAACCAAAAATGTCTCCAGATATTGCCAGAAATTCCCTGGGGAGGACCATCCACCCCCAGCTAGGAACCGCTGCTCTGCTCACATCCGTATTGATTATTTCTTATGTTCTACATTAGTCTTATCACTTAGCCATTGTATCTCTTCTGCACATTACGGCTATATTAATAATACCTTTAAATCCAGCAAGTAACTGGTAAAAGCTCTTTATAATAACAAGCAATTACTTTCTTCTTAGAGTAGTTTTTTTCACCTCAGTTTTTTGGAGTGTTAGAAAATTATTCGGATGGTTAATATTGTTAATATCTCAAAACATGATAATTAACTCTTTTGATGGTTGCCAGGAAGCCAAGGATGATAAAGCAAAACCTAAGCAGTGAACAAGGATTGAGTGAACATTTCACTGTCTCTCCTTTCACTAGAGAGCTGTGCTTTTAGTGTTTGGAAGAAAAACATGAAGGAAGGGATGGTCCTTACCCTCATATGAATAATATACTAATATTTCACGAACATCTACTGTATTCCAAAGATTTCTTTAGACTAAGCCATTTAATTTGTACAAACAACCCAACATGAGGAAATTGAAACCAGGAGAAGATAACTAACTTGCCAAAGTCACAGCTAGTAAATAGCATAGTCAGGGTTCAAAACTAGTTATGTGTCAATGCTAGTGGCTTTTCCCCTCCAGCCACACTGCTTATAGAGTTGATTTATCTACAGAATAAAAGATAAAGGTGGCCCTTAATGCTTCCCAAGCCTGGTGGTTTTGTTTACCTTTTTTTGGTTTGTTTAACAAAATAGTTACTTATTCTTTATGGACAGAAATAATGTCACGATTATAAATTTGGCGGTATGAATAGACTTTACATCATTAATTCATATTATGTCAAAATTAGGAATCCTTCAGAAAGGAAACATTGTGGAAGTGGATTCCATGGTTCTGACAATTTGTTTTCAAATATGCAAGTAAGTAAACTTGTTATACTTAGAAAAATAGTTTATATCTGAAGAAAACTGTATAGAGTTATAGACTTTGAAACGTGGAGGGTGATTGTATGTCTTGAATGAGAATTAATGAAGCTTATAATTTTGTATAGCTATATTACTTTGGGCATTACATTAATAGAATTTTGTTAAAATTTTATATGCATGTTTCATGAACATGTGACTTACCTCATACTAAATTTCTAATAGTTACTTTGCATATATTTGTGCTCCATTAAGAATATTGCCCCATGGTAAATGAAAACTAGTGATTTAATAGGGGAAAAGATATCATACTTTTGTTTTAAATGAAGATGATGCCTTACATTCACTTAGCAATTTAAAATTTCAGAATATACTCACAACAGTGATTTAATTTGATGCCTACAGCACTGTGTGAGGTGGGCAGGGTGACATTTATATCCCATTTCACAGATGAGCAATGATTTCATCACCCATTCTGTTCTGTCAAGTCAGGAATTGCAGTAAAGCTGAGAGAAATATCCCACATGTCTTTAGATTAAATGTGCAACACAGGTTAAAACAGTAGCCCACCAAGTCCATGGACACAGTATTTTTCCCATCATCTTAACCAGTTTATATATGTACAGCATGGATAATGTAAAATAATTTTGTCACCAGCTACGTACATAGCTGAAATGAATTGACACGCTCTTATTTTTCTGGCCCATCTAGGCCCTCTTTATTGGCTACGGACCTGGATTCAAGCACAGCCTTGAGGTTGACTCCTTTGAAAATATCGAAGTCTATAATTTAATGTGTGGTAAGTGGAACAGGCTTCTTTCATTTCTTCTGAAAACAGAGCTGGAATGGGATTATCGAAAGTAGGTCACATGGTGGGCACCTTTGTAGAGATGATGGTGAGGGGAGACAGACCTTCTTCTTCCTGACCCAGAGTCACTGAAAAAAGTATGGGGATCGTGCCATTTGAGGACTTAGTTTCTTCCACTCGGCTGCACACAGGTAAAGTGGAGCACGCAGACGAGGGAGATCTGTACTTTGCCAGTGCATAGCAGCTTGCCAGGCCTTGGGCTTAATTATATGACAATTGAAACAGGTCTGGGGTGGAAGCCTAAGAAAGAGTTTGGAGTCTGTGAAGGGTGCACAAGACAGGCGGAACCTCTGGTAGCAATGAGTTGAATGGATGACAATGTCAAGGTGTAGAAACTGAGGAGGACCCATTAGATGTATTCCTCATTTACTCTGTACTGTCTTAATTAGTACTTTTATGGTTGGATACTGTGTTTTAAATATTACTTCCTTTTTCTGACAATGATCCTGGGTGTTTGCAAACCTTAAATATGTCGTCAGTGTAATTCTTTTAGTGGGAGCCTATATACTTAAATGAATTCATATGTCCTAAAGCACTGAAAACAGTGCCTGGCATATCCTGAGTGCTTTACTATAGAAGCGTTTGCTGTTGTTATTACCAAGAGCATGAGTCAGACTCAGACAAAGCTGGTTTTGAATCCTGGGTCTTACTCCGTTACTAGCTTTGAGGCCTTGAGCAAAGCACTATGAGTAATCATCTACCAAATATTGGCAATAGCTTATTAAATTGTTTTAAGGATTAAGTAAGAAAAATACATTAGCACAATGATTGGCATATAATGAGCATGCTGTGGAGGTTACTATAGTCATACACATTAAAATTCAGAAGTTTCCATAGAGAAGTATAGCATACATATCAGTAATTCCATTAAGGATATCATAGTTATAAATGCTCTAAAATTCAAGAGCGTTTCATAGTTTCACTTTAGGTAGAGAGTAAAGAACTCTTATATAGATAAGGTTTAAAAAAAAATAAAAGTCATAGGATAAGTCTGCTGTTTATCTGCTTTTGAAACCTCTAAGTAACCATTTACCATTCTCGGAATTATGCAGATTTACTGAATTTGACACCTGCTCCTAATAACGGAACTCATGGAAGTCTTAACCACCTTCTAAAGAACCCTGTTTACACCCCAAAGAATCCCAAAGAAGTCCACCCCGTGGTACAGTGCCCCTTCACAAGAACCCCCAGACGTAACCTTGACTGCTCGTGCCATCCCTCAGTAAGTACTGACCAAAGTGTAGCCCAGTTGGATCTTACAGCACCCTCTGCGTAGCTCATGCTATAGAAACACTTAATGATCAAATTAAAATCTGTGAGTGGGCATAAATATCTATTTATGTTTAATTCTGATGGAACACATGCCACCCTTTTATTGTTTATTTTTCCTCTTCCTAGTTTTTGCATTTTCACCTCTGTCTTTATCCCTTGGTGCTGTGACTTGACTTGGGTGCAGGTTGGGAGAAGTCCAGCTGAGTCCTGGAGGATCCTGAATCATGGAATCTGTGCTGTTATCCTAGCAGTGAGGTCTTGATTATCAACCAAACACAGTATTCTTTCTCTAAAATATCTCTCAATTAATTTTAAATTTAGAGGGAAAATCACATTTTTGGGGGGTATAAAATGGAATATGGCACTGTTTCTTTTTTACTCCCATCTTAACATATAGTTGTAAGAAGATGAAAATATGTGACAAGTGAACAAAACTGATAGTGTCCTTAAAGATCTGGGGAGCAGTTGATTTTATGCTTTCCATTTTGTTTTAGGCTGATAGAAAGACTATAAGAGTAGTGATAAAAATTATAATGCAGCGATTCTTTTCATTCATAGTGTTGTGCTTGGGTAATAGTTTTGTCTTTTTGCAGATGTCATCCGAACTTTTATCCTCTTTGTCAAAAAAATAAGTTTGACTTGTACAAGATGGCTTTATCTTTGTTCCATGATGGAATAATTAGGCTGTAGAAGTTGTTTGTTACGAGATTAAAACATGTCTCAAGACAAAAATAAAACAAAACCAAACCTCATGTCTCTCATTGCTTAAAATCGTATTACTATCTTTTTAGGTCTTGCCAGTTGTGGATTTTGAGATACAGTTGAATTTGACTGTGGCAGAAGGTAAGGCATGTTTACCCTTGAGCTTGGAATGTGGAAGCAGGCTTTTTCTCAACTGTGTGAACCACAGAACATCGGTTTGGGGCATTAGTTGAGAACAACCAATAACCTAAAAGTAGTGGTGGAGGACCGTCACCTGAGGAAACGTGGAGATGTCTTTGCTTGACGGTCTAGACTATTCGACATAAGGAAAGAAGGGATATTTACAGCACATTGTATATTTAGTGGAAGCTGAATTACTTTTTATGAACATAGTGGAGGTGGTTTGAGATTTTGAAGATTTTTAAAGGTTTATAAGAGATCTTCAGATGTCCATTATAAACACCTGTTAAATTTGTCTCACCTGCTTCTTAGTTCATTATAAGAGAATATAAATTAGCTTATTTATCTAAAGTTATTTCTTCGTAACTTTTGAGTGAAGATTAAGTAGGCTTAATATTCAGACAACTGCTAACATTTGTCAGTTGTGACTGGGATGTTTAGCATCCCTTTGATACGGTCTCTCATATACTTCGATATATTCTCTGAAACACTTTGATATAGTCTCTGATCCTTAAGTTTCTTGGCTCAGTTTTTTCCTTCTGGAATAAAAAGGTGAATTCTGCATAATTCCCAAGTTGAATTTGTCTATATAAAATCTCTGTAAATGTGGGGCACCTGGGGTGGCTCAGTCAGTTAAGCATCCAACTCTTTGATTTCAGCTCAGGTCATGATCTCAGGGTCCTGAGATCGAGCCCCACATCGAGCTCCACACTGGGTGTGGATCTGCTTGGGATTCTCTCTCTCCTTCTCCCTCTGCTCCTCCCACTGTTCACATGCACTCTCACTCTCTCCCTCTCTCTCAAAAATAAAATAAAATCAAAATAAAATCTCTAAATGTTTAGAGAAATCTTTGATGACCCTGTGATGACAGAGTGTTGTGGTGAAGGATGACACTTCTGGAATTGATCTGTGTTTGAATATGAGTGTAGGAACTATATGTCCATGGAAAAAGTATTCACTCTCTGTAAACTACTGTTTTCTCTTTTGTACAATGGGCGTATGACCTTAATTCATAGGGCTATGTAAGAATTAAATTAGATGATGTATACAAAGGACTCTACAAAGCACTTGACACTTGGAAGAAGTACAATTAATGGTCTATACTATTACTTTTTCATTCAGCTCAGTCTCATAAGTTTAGTTGTGAATTTTTGCTTTCCAAGCATCCATATCATCCAGAAACCTCTGTCTGGAGTTTTCCCTGAAGAAAAATCATTAAAATAATGTTTAAAGAATTTTAGCAATATTCTTTAAGTCCTAATGCTGAAATTTCTAGCAATCTCACATAGTGTCCTCTTGTGATATCTTGCTATTACATTGATCTTTCAGAATCTTCATAGGCAAAAACTATAGTGAACCTCTTTTGTTAATTGCTTATGGTTCTGCTCTTTGTAATTAGCTTTTTTTTTTACAGTTAAAAATAACTTTTCAATAGGGTTAAGTAGAGGAAAGAATTGGATGAATATATCATTATATATTGTCATAGAATTCACAGTAAGTATGTTTGAATGGTGGTTTCATTTTTCCCCTACAACCCAAGAGAAGGTTATTAAGCGCAGCACTTTACCTTATGGAAGACCCAGAGTTCTCCAGACGAACACCTCGGTCTGTCTTCTCTACCAGCACCAGTTTGTGAGTGGTTATAGCCATGACTTCCTGATGCCCCTTTGGACCTCTTACACCGTCCACAGAAATGCAAGTATTGGTTGCCTCTTTAGCTATGTGTAATTATTTCAGATTATCATTAAGCAAAACATCGAAAGCAGAGTTAGTTTGGGTCAATTAATCTTGGCTCTAGCATCAGTTCCTGAATTAGAAGATCACTGAACTCTGAGTCAGAAGATTAGGTTCTGGTTCTGGCTCTGCCACGAACTAGCCATGTGACTTTGAGACTCAGAGCGGATTTCTTCTTGTGTGAAATGAGGGATGTGCAGGCACTCAAAGTTTCTCCCTTGCTTTTTGTTTGTATTAATATTTTAAGATTCTGATTTATAATTTTATGGAATCAATTTTGCAGTCAGGTGCAGTGATTCTTCTCTAAATACATAGATGTGTGAGCACAAGGATTTTCCTCAGCGGCGTTCACCTGAGGGGGTCCTCACTGATGGGGAAGGCCATGAAAGCTCAGTAACCTCCCTGCATATACCACTTACAGGAAGACCCCCAAACCAGACCAGAGAGAATCCGGGGATCTGTCCACCTCCCAAAACACAGGAAGGCCTTGAGAAGAGTTGGGGGGGGGGCAGGCAGAATAAGACCACCATTCCCCCTCACCTCTGCCCCCGGCTGCCCTGGTAGAAAGAGTAACAGAAGCGAGGCCTTGAAAGAGAGAATGGGGAAGGGGAGGAGATTTAGATTTTAATCAAATTGAAGTTTTTAAACTAGACCAACCAGATTTTCAGGAACTGAATGCCTGGCAAGCTACAGGATGCCCTTAAGGGGTGAAAAGGGGATTTGAGAGAGCTTAATTGAGTGTAGCAGCTGGATTTAAAAAATAAAACTATTGTTAATACTCACTGAGAAAGCGAAATAAGAAGATAGGGATATGTGCGGGTATATATGTAATTTCTCTATTACAAATATATATATTATGTACCACACATAGTCACATAATTCCATAAAGTTTCTACCATAAATTTGATTGTTCTAATTTTGAAGACTATCTTCCAACAGTGTAAACACATTTTTTACTTGACTTTGTGATATATAGGAGTCTGCACAGTGTTTTATAGGTCCCCATCAGATTTACTGTTGTTTCATGCCTTAATTACAGTGTTCTTTAATTCTGTTCAAATGTTCGGTTTTCTTCTGTAATCAGTGCTGCATAAATTCAGTCATCAGTGCTCCTGAGGTTTCCATGCTGCACTGCTATTCAGTGGCTCCCCACCCTCAGCCTTAGTCTGTGCAGTTGTGTATGGAAGATAGACTCGGGTCCCCCCAAATCAGCATTTGGCTACATAAAAGTTTGCAGTTGACTAAACAAAAACATGATACACAAACTTAGCCCAGCATAATAGGAAAATATTTGCACATACATGATAAATGACTAGTATCCTTAATAGCGTAAAGAGTTTTTGCATTTCAGTTAGAAAAAAGATCAATATACTGCTAGAAAAATGGGAAAATGGTGAAGGACAGCTAGAGCTCTATGATCGTATGGTGTGATTCATCTTCAGCTGCTCATAAAGCAGTCTTCTTTCCTTTTGTATGCCTGACACCTGATGGCTCTTTTCATTTTGTTTTCCAGGACAGTTTCTCTGCAGAAGACATTTCCAACTGTCTTTACCAGGATCTTCGAATTTCTCTTAGTCCTGTCCATAAGTGTTCATTTTATAAAAATAACGCTGAGCTGAGTTATGGGTTCCTCTACCCACCACGTAAGTTTCTACCTCCCTGACCTTCCCTTTCTCTTGGCCTCTTTCTCTCTTCCTTTTCTTTTCCTTATGAGGCCTGGTACATCATCTTGTTTTTCAATTGGTGAAAATGGTGAATGGGAAGTAAAACTCTTAGGGAAACTTTTTAAAGTGTCTAAAGTTTGAATTTTAGAAAACTTTTGCTTTTGTTTGGAGGGTAGTCTTTTTAGTGCAGACGCTGTAGATAGGACATTCTTTACTTTTCTACATTTCTTTTACACAGAATTTGAGAAAGCTTGGGTCAGAAGGATATATCAGGGTTCTTAGAAGGAGATATTTTGTTTATTAAAAGGAAAAATGTAGGGGCACCTGGGTGGCTTAGGCCATTAAGCATCTGCCTTTGGTTCAGGTCATGATCCCAGGGTCCCAGGGACCAGGGAGCCTGCTTCTCCCTCTCCCTCTGCCCTTCCCACCCACCTACCCCTGCTCATCACTCATGCTCTCTCTCTCTCAAATAAATAAATAAAAATTTTTAAAAAAGGAAAGATGTAATTTGTCAAAGAACTAGGGGTAGGCAGAGCCTAAATGTGCTTGCTCTTTCACAGAAATGGAGCCGCTAGGGAATAGCTTTCTTTTCTTTTTGAGGTTAAGTGTTCAATTTCTAATGTGGCAAATTTGTGTGTTAATGAGAAGACATTCTGAGGCTGGCCTTAGAAGGCAGAAACCAGAAGGCTCCAGGTGCTCAAATATTCTCAATATCCAGTCCAGTCCCCGGAGTAAGTGTCTGAAGTCAGAGCTTGGCTATTGCTTTATAAAAATAGACCAGGCCCAAGCCGAAAATCCATACAAAGGAGCCTTGTACAGCATTTCGAGGCAGACATCCTGCGATGTTTTTTCTGGGTAGTAGGTGTTCTGAAGCCAGATATTCTCTTTTTTCTTCTCACTGTGGAAGAGTTTAAGGAAAGAGGGTTGTCAACACAATACAGTTTTGGTTGAAATGGGCAAATAAGGTAAAATTTGAATATGTTTAATTTGGGGCTGTTATTAAGCTTTTGTTTCTTTGATAAATTCATCTTGAAGAAGAAGAGATCTAAATATTTTGCTTTTTTTAAGGGACTTGACCAAACACATTGCACTTTCCCTTGACCCCATACCTAGGAATGTTTTATGGGTTTAAGGTGATACGCAGCTAATTTTTTAAAATGCCCTCCCATGAGAAAGTGTAATTTCTAATGTTATTCATGAAGAATGAGATAGTTGTCTTTTTTAAATTTTCTTTGTAGAACTAAATAAAGGTTCAAATCAACTATATTCTGAAGCATTGCTGAATACTAATATAGTGCCAATGTACCAGAGTTTTCAAGGTAAAAAATTTTAACCCTTTATCTCACACTTTCAATGAATTTTCTGTATATTATAGGTATAATTTACATTAATAAGGCTGATCCTCTAAATTAAATGACTATCAAACATGTTTTTATAGGTGTATGTTCTCAGAGGTACACATTTTTATACATTCTTAACTTTGACAATACCAGTACATAGAAATTCTACAACTATTAGAATTATGACATATTCCAATACCTATTATTCTACTTTGTATTTACATGTTTATAAACATTTTTTGATGGAAAAAGTATGTAATATTCTTCCTAAGTTATCTGGCTAATATAGTCTACTAACACATTAACTTCCAGTTTGTTTCCCATTTAAGTTTTGGAAGTTGTTGATAATTGTTTTTGATCTTGAAATGAATAGATTTTTGTATCCTTATTAATTATCACAGTATTTGGTACTCTTACAAAAATAAATTTAAATTATTCTTTGAGTGACATATAGAATTTCAAAATATAGAGTATACTAGGAGATTTTTACTCTAATCTACGTGTAGAATCATTGTGAATATTTCAAAGGGAATATTCAGATATTAACGGTAAATCTGAATAACCTGCCTTGTTTGTTTATGTTCGTGGTTTTTTATGCCTAATGATGATCTGTTATCCAAATTCATGCTGATGCACATGGTCAGAGATGCCCCAAATAGTGTTGAATTCAATGTTTGTCTCTTCTGCCAAAGCTGAACAATGGATTTTTGGCCTCACACTAAGACCGAAGCCAAATTTGACTTTGTCTGTAATTATTACAAATGCTAATTTTGAATCAGGTTGTTGAGTTATTTCACATGACAGCATGGTACCTCCTTGTTTTGAAACCACACTGACGTCCTTCTTGTTTTAGTTTTATGGCGCTACCTTCACAGCACCCTTCTGCAGAGGTATGCGGAAGAAAGAAATGGCGTCAATGTTGTCAGCGGTCCCGTGTTTGACTCTGATTACGATGGATGTTATGATTCCTCGGACACCCTGAAGGGGTAAGAACATACTTCATTTACTCTTAAAAACAGCTGTCACTTGGGATTACCATCCAGTTGAGTCTGCGGAGCCTTTTCTGTCTGATACTGTTCATATTGATGGACATGACATTTCTTTTTTTTTTTTTTTAAGATTTTATTTATTTCTCAACAGAGAGAGAGAGAGACAGCGAGAAAGGGAACACAAGCAGGGGGAGTGGGAGAGGGAGGAGCAGGCTCCCCACTGAGCAGGGAGCCC